AAAATTGATAACTTGAACAGGCAATATGAGTTGTTCAGGATGGCAGAAGGAGAGACTATTCAAGACATGCACACCAGGTTCACCTCCATCATCAATGAGATGTGCCTAACGGAAAAGCAGCAAGGAAACTCTTGAGTGTCCTTCCTGAAACTTGGGAAAGCAAAGTCGAGGCTATCACTGAAGCCCGCGACCTGGACTCACTGGGAATGGATGAGTTAATTGGTAATGTCATCACATACGAACTTAAGAAAAACCAAGAAAATGAAATTGGAGGAAAAAGAAAGGAAAGGAACCTGGTTCTAAAGGCTACTGCATCAGATGATTTTGAAGATGAAAATATCGCCCTCATAACTAAAAGGGTTCACTAGAATGCTAAAGAGAGGGCAGACCTTTCAAAAGAAAGCTTTTCAAAAACCATCTGAAAACACTAAAGACCAGGTTTGTCATAAGTGTGGGAGTCCAGATCACTTCATAAAATTCTGTCCACTTTGGGCTGTAGAGCAGAAAAAGGTAAACTTTGAGAAAGGTAAAGACATCAAAAAGGATAAGTTTGTTCCCTCAAACAGAAGAATGACAACTCAAGAGGCAGACATGTCCATGAAGAGGGCTTTTGCAGCAATGGGGAATTCATCTGATGAAGAGTTTGAGGGTGATGAGACAGAAAACCAGTCTCTTCTTGCACTAGAACAAGAAGATGATTATGAATTTCTTGCCCTTGTAGCAGTGGAAACCAAGGAAGAAAGGGAAACTTGCAGATCACAAGAAACCATACTAGCACTCATGGCTGGATCAGATTCTGAAGAGGAAAAAGAAGAAGAAGATACAAATGAAAAGGTTAGTCTTCATCACTTACAAGACAATCTAGGTTCATACTCAAAAAGAGAGCTAGAATCCTTACTCTACACTCTCATTGATGCATATAAAAGCATAGACTCATAAAGGGAACTGATAATGGAAGACTATGCATCACTAAGAGAAGAAAACAAGAGTCTTGAAAAACAGAATCTTCATCTTTTATCTAAGAATACCAAACTAAGTAAAAATCTAGAATTGGTAACTAAAAGGAATGAAACACTCTCCAAAGAGCTTCTTGTGACTAAAACTGAAGCAGAAAATGGAATGAGATGGACCAGGTCCTCCATACTGCTTGACAGCATTCACAAGAATCGCACAATTGAGAAACATGAGATAGGTTTTGATAGAACCAGCTCTCAAGTAAAAAATCCCAACATAGACTGTTTATGCATGCACTGTGGACTGGTAGGACATAAAAGCCATGATTGTCAAAAGAAACAAACAGCTCATAACAAAAACTTGAAATCCTTGAGAAAACCTCATCATGATAAACCCAATGAGCAAAAACAAATCCCTACAGACAAATCTCTTTCTATCTGGGCCAGAAGAAATCTTATCCACTCATTCCCTAAGCTTAAATTAAAGTGGATTTGGGTACCAAAATCTAAAATTCAACAATAAATTGCAGGGATCAGTGAAGAGGAAGCAGCAACAATGGTACTTGGATAGTGCATGCTCAAGACACATGATTGGAGATAAAAGAAGCTTCCTCTCACTCAAGAACATCAAAGGCGGAAACGTTGCCTTTGGTAATGGTAAAAGTGGTGAAATTTAGGGAATTGGAAAGGTTGGATCAATGGATACTCATGCAATTGAGAATGTATATTATGTGAATGGTCTACAACATAACCTTTTGAGCGTATCTCAAATATGTGATAAAGGAAACAACGTTCTCTTTACAGAAAAAGAATGCAGAGTAACAAACTCAGTGACTGGAAACCTCGTTCTACTAGGAAAGAGACACAAGAATGTGTACAAAGTCAAGACTGTTGACTCCAAGGAAGATAATCTTAAATGTCTAAGTGCAGTCTCAGATTGCTCCATGCTATGGCACAAAAGAATGGGATACATTAGCATGACAACTATAAACAAGCTCATATCTAAAGACCTGGTTAGGGGATTGCCAACCAAAAGTTTCAAGGACAACCAAGTATGTGGAACCTGCATTCAAGGAAAACAGGTTAGGTCATCCTTCAAACCAAAGTTGACAGTAAGTACTACTAAGCCACTCGAACTGCTTCACATGGATTTATGTGGACCAATGCGTATACAAAGCAGGGGTCGAAAAAGAAATGTGTTTGTAATAGTTGATGACTACTCAAGATTCACTTGGACATTGTTTCTTGCAACAAAGTATGAGACATTCACTATGTTTGAAGTTTTTGCAAAGCTGGTTCAGAAGAAATTCAACAAAGAAATAATCAGCATCAGATCTGATCATGGACTAGAGTTTGAGAACTCACAATTCCTACAATTTTGTACTACAAATGGGATTGAGCATAACTTCTCAGCACCTAGAACACCACAACAAAATGGTGTTGTTGAGAGGAAAATAGAACAGTGGAAGATATTGCAAGAACAATGTTAATCTCAAGCAAACTTCTAAAATTCTATTGGGCTGAAGCAGTAAATACAGGATGCTATTTAATAAATAGATGTATGATCAGATCAGTGTTAAACAAAACACCATATGAGCTACTAAAAGGAAGAAAACCAAATCTAGCACATCTTAGGGCCTTTGAATGTGTATGTTTTATACACAATAATGACAAAGACAATTTGGAAAAATTTGATGTCAAGAGTGATGAAGGAATTTTTCTAGGCTACTCATCACAAAGCAAGGCCTACAAGGTACTGAATAAAAGAACAAACCGTGTAGAAGAAAGTGTCCATGTTGTTTTTAATGAACATACTAGTGAAATTGAAGGAAATTCAGAGGATGAACAAAATGAGGAAACCTGCTCCAAGCGATCAGACCCAAAAACATGGGAAAAAGAAACCATACCATCTGAAATAGGAGATAAGTCTGCTGACGAAACTAGTTCATCTGCACCTCAAGAACTAGTGAGTATTCCCACTCATAATTGGAAACATCAAAGCTCTCCCTCTCTGCAAAGTCTTCTTACTCCTCTTAACTCAGGCATATCTACAAGATCCAAATTACGTGGTATGTGTGCATTCTCTGCCTATGTGTCCCTGATTGAGCCTAAAAATATAAAGGAAGCGTTGCTAGACTCTGAATGGATTGGTGCTATGCAAGAAGAACTCAACCAATTTGAAAGAAGCAAAGTGTGGAACCTGGTTCTAAAGCCCCAAAACAGAACAGTAATAGGAACTAGGTGGGTGTTTAGAAACAAGCTCGATGAGCAAGGTCAAATAGTGCGCAACAAAGCTAGGCTAGTTGTACAGGGATATAACCAACAAGAAGGTATATACTATGATGAAACCTTCGCACCAGTAGCAAGAATTGAGGCCATTAGAATACTGGTTGCATGTGCTGCTCACATGGAGTTTAAACTCTACCAAATGGATGTCAAAAGTGCCTTTCTAAATGGTTACCTACAAGAAGAGGTGTATGTAAAACAACCTCCAGGTTTCGAAAATACCATATATCCTGATCATGTATATAAATTGGACAAAGCACTCTATGGGTTAAAACAAGCACCAAGAGCATGATATGATCGATTGTCTACTTTTCTTCTCACACATGGATATACAAGAGGCAAAATTGACAATACTTTGTTTCTTCGAAAACAAGGTAAAGATCTGTTCATAGTCCAAGTATATGTAGATGACATCATATTTGGAGGAACCAATGACTCACTAGGAGTAGAATTTGCTCAACTAATGGATAGTGAGTTTGAGATAAGTATGATGGGAGAATTGAACTTCTTCTTGGGACTTCAAATTAAGCAAACTCTGGTTGGAACATCAATTCATTAACAAAAGTACATCAAGGAATTACTGAAGAAGTATGATATGAATGAAGCTAAGACAAATGATACTCCCATTGGGACAACAACAAAGCTTGATAAAGATGAACCAGGTTCACCAGTCAATGACACTAGATATAGAGGTATGATTGGATCACTCCTGTATCTCACTGCTAGAAGACCTGATATAGTGTTTAGTGTTGGTCTATGTGCAAGATTTCAGTCTTGCCCAAAGGAATCACATCTAAAAGTTGTCAATAGAATCCTGAGATATTTGAAAGGTACAATAAACCTGGTTCTCTGGCATCCAACTGGTGACTCTTTTTATCTAAAGGGATTTGCTGACGCTGATTATGCAGGACACATGGTTGATAGAAAAAGTACTTTTGGGATGGCACACTTTTTAGGACCATGTTTAATATCCTGGGCAACAAGAAAACAAAATTCATTGGCTCTATCTACTGCAGAGGCTGAGTATGTTGCAGCTGCTTCATGTTGTGCCAAACTTCTTTGGATAAAACAACAGCTTAAAGACTTTGGTATAGGAACAGGTTGTATTCCTATTCTATGTGATAACACAAGTGCTATAAACATGGACAAAAACCCAGTTCAACACAAGCGCACCAAACACATAGATGTTAGGCATCACTTTCTTCGTGATAATGTTGAAAAGGGAAACATAATAATGGAGTTCTGTAAAACTGAGAATCAAGTTGCTGATATTTTCACGAAGGCACTAGGAAGAGAGTCATTTCAGAAAAATAGACTTGAGTTAGGGCTCATCTACTTAGAATGAACTATGCCCAACCAAGTTCTAATATGGTATAAACCAGGTTCAGTCAAGATGGTTCTACATAATCATTGCATTAAAAAAAAAGGGAAAAAATTTTAAATTAATAAAAAAAATAAAAAAATAAAAAAAATTAATTGGGGGAAAACACTCTCATCTTCTCTCTCCCATGCCCCATCTCTGACAAGCAGGTGCAACCGTCACGGCACACGTCTCCTCGATGTCAATCCCCCATAATTACTCCAATACCTTGATTACAACACCAAAACCGTTCCCAATAAAGCACTCTCTCTAAACTAGCAACCAACTTTCTCTCATCTTCATTCTTCAGAAAACCCAGAAACCAAAATCCCTTCCATAACCATGACTAATCCACTTGTTGCTTACTCCGATGACGAAAGCTCGTCTGATAGTGCATATTCTCAGGGGGAAGAAAACCAAGTTGTTGATGGTGTGCCCGATCTTGGGGAGGAAAGCCAACTCCCAATCACACCTCCATCACCACCACCAAAAGCTCCATCACCACCACCAAAAGCTCCATCACCACCACAAAAAACTCCATCTCCACCACCAAAAGCTACATCCCCACCACCACAAGTAACCCCTTCACCATCACCAGTCCAAGGAGCATCTTCACCTGTCGTTACTGACTCCCCACCACCACCCATCATCAAATCTCCCCCATCACCAGTCCAAGAAACTCTAACATCACCGGTCCACGAAACCCCACTTTCACCAAACCCAACATCTCCCACAGCCGCTGTCCCACCCATCCCCCCTTCTTCACCATCTCACCACACATTCTCAAAACCCACCACTCTCTCCAATCCATGATGATATTCTTTTGAATTCTCCTCACCCTAAAAAACCAAGGTGTCCAAGAAAGCACATTGCAGTCAAACAGGTTCGTCCACACAGGCCAGTCACAAGGAGTGCACATGTGGTAAAACCAGCTGATGATGCAACATCTGGGGTGAAGCGTCGCCGATTGGGTAAGTCTCATGTTCCTTCATCAGTCTCCCCATTGGATCTTGCTTCTAATACTGATGCTATGTTTGAGGGTAAACAATCAGCTACTCCTCCATCCAAATCAAAATCTGCAAAAAGCAATGCAGATAAATTTCTAAAAGTGGGAAGGAAAAAGTACTTCCAAACCAAATCAGTGCTTAGGGGTAGAACTTTTCACCCTGATATACTTTCAATGGATCTAGTGAAGCAGGTTTGCGAACTCCTAAGGTTTCAAGGGTGGGAGGATTTATTTGTAGAACCCAGTTTGATTTATGAAAAGGAAGTGGTCGAATTTTATACGAACTTGGTCATCCTAGAAGGAGATGTGGTGTCGTCTAGTGTTAAGGGAGTTGACATTGCGTTTGATGCAACCAAGCTTGGGGAAATCTTGCATATACCATCTGTGGGTATAAATGAGTACAATTGGGGTTTTGATAAGTATTCTAGTCTGCCAGCTTGATTCTCTCAAGGTAGAGTCAATTCTAGGGCTCAAACTGTTTTAAAGGGAATAATGCGATTGTTGCATAAGCTTCTTTTTGAGATAGTTCATAAGGTGATACTGCCTAGAGGTCATCAACGTCACATTGCCTCCATAAGAGACATGGGACTTATGAACGCACTTGAGTGCAAAGAGCGCATTGATTGGCCTACACAGATTATCAAACATCTTGCTAGAATTGTGGATCCTAAGTTAGGCTCTCATCAGTTAGCTTTTGGAAATCTATTGACTAGGGTGTTTGATGCTTTTGAAGTACCTTTGGGAGAAGGCAGGATTTTAACTCGTGCAGATATGTTCACTCAAACTATCCTTGCTGATTGTGGCATTTCTAAGTCGGAGCAGGTTGCAACTGCGTCTCCACGTACATCTGGTCCTGTTGCTCAGTTACTTAGGGAACTTAAAGTAGCTGAAGAAAAGAACGCTTCTCTTGAATCAGACAACCAGAAGTTACGTGCTGAGCTCGATTCCTCAAATGCTTAAATACACAAGTTGAAGGATCAGTTGGTGCAGCAACAACTTGCTAACAATGCAAGAGTTGACAGAGTTTTGGATATGCTGGCTTCTGCTTCAACTAAGCCTGGTCAACCTCCACAGTGATAAAACATGTTGTCTGAACCTGGTTCTCTTAGTTGGTTTCACTCTGTATTGTTGCTCCTTGTTCACTCTATTTTGTTGCCAGAACACTTTACATTGCTCAACTGGCTGGGCGTATTTTGTTGCTATGGATATTGATTAGTGTTGATTAGCCGCTGTTGTTGTCTTTTTGATTCGTCAAAAGGCGGAAGAGTTATTTGCGCATACATCACACGCTACATGTTTGTCTTCATCAAAAAGGGGGAATATGATAGAATGTGATAGAATCGTTAATTCGTTTTGATGATAGACAAAAAGCGCAAAGAACAGTAGCAAATGTACGCAGCAAAGAAGTCAAGCTAGAGTTCAAGATCAAGTACAATAGAGTTATTTGTCAAAGCCAAAATAATATATTAAAGGTACAAGTTAATACAAATAAGGAAAACCTTAAATATATTATTAAGGAAGGAAGTTGTGTATAATAAGGATTTTAAATTAAAAAAGAATCCTTGTTTAAATATAACTTTCTTACCTTATTAGTAAGGATTGTACAAGGCAACAACTATATAAGAAGGATACGAGGCAGAGGGAGAAACTAACGACTTCACGCAGAGAACAAGAGAGAATTATTCACCAAATTGAGGTCTTCAAGATTGATAGGATTGCCACGGTCAAAACATTCTTGAGTGAGAAGGTTTTTATCGTGTAGAACTATTTGTCTTGTTTTTGTTCTTAATTGTAGTTTACAGTTTATTGTACAAAGGGTGGGTTTGGCTCTTTGTAGGGTTGATTGTTAGCAAGAGTTGTAACAAAAGGTGGGTTTGGCCTTTTGGAGAGATCGATTGGACCTAATCGAGGGAGTAGTAGAGATAAGACTTTTGATTATTGAGTTGTAATCACAAAATCTTATAGTTGAATTAATAAAACGAGGTTTTTCCTTCCTTGAGTGAGGAAGGTTTTAATTCAATAAGTGTTTGTGTCTTTACTCTGTCTTTACTTAAAAGCAACTTACACGAACCTGGTTTGTGTTCTGGGGTAAGGTTTCTTCAGAGTAGCCTATATAATCTCCTTCTTTATGTAAAAACAAAATTGTTATTAGCTTACGAAAAAATTACACTTTTCATATTTTTTTCCTCATGAAAGGTACTTTCCATTTATCGAGTTGAATTATGCCTTTAACCTCTTGATTAAGATATTGCCAAGAAAAGATATAGGTTTTATTTCCACTAGTAAAGGCCATCTTCGCAAAGTAATCAACAACCGTATTAGCTTCTCGATAACAATAAATGAAGTTGACATTAACATTGCTAACACTTTTGTGAGTTCATATATGATCTTTTTCAACTTTAGATTAGTAGTGCTCATGTTTTTTGACATGATAGTAATTACCAAAGAATCCATTTAGGTGGTGAAATATTTAATTCCTTTCTCACACCAATTAGCACCAAATCTGACACAGTAGCTTCTGTTTGGTTGTTGTTGGTGAACTATACTGCCTTAAAGAAGGCCATATAAAAATTTACCATCTTTGTCTCTAACTATGCCCCCAATACCCGTTTGTCCTGTATCCTTGATGAAATTCCATCAACGTTGACTTTGAATTACCTTGCTTTTGGTTTTTGCCAGACGACTTGTATGACATTCCTCCTGCGTTGCAGTCTTTCAATATTCTCACACATGCTAGGCCAGCTGCCCATTTTATTAATAGTGGGGAAAATGATCTTGAGTGCTGTAGTGATATTCCATAATACCTGATACTCCATTTTCTTGTGGTACATTTTGTTTTGAACCCCAAACTTACAAGCTGCCCATTCTTTCTAGATTTCCCATATAATTATCGGAGCAGTTTGAATTATCAAATCGTGTACGTTATTTTTCATTTCAACACTCCATCATTTATTGAATATTCTTATGGTAGAAACATATTGATGAATAATGCGTAAGGAGGCACCAATACAATTTCATATATGAGTTGCAGCCTTCCCTCGTGTAAACCTGTGTTGAATTAAATCTATTACAAGGTCATTGCAACAATAACATTCAACATTTGAATGATTATCAAATCTATGTGCCACTTAATTAAAAGACAATTTTTCTTTGCATAATCTCCAAGAAAGAAATGAGATCTTAAAAGGAATAGATTTATGCTACAAATATTGCAGAAACTCATCTTTTTGCTTGATATTTCTCACCAGATTTGTTAGAATAGTGACCATCTTCAGTACAAGTCCAAATGGGATCGTCATCTTGATCATTATGGCCAATGTCCATGTTCATAATGCTTTGAACAATATTTGCAGGAAGTACACAAGACAGGGTTCTTTCGTCCCATCTTCCATCTAGCATAAAGTCTTTAACACATAGTTTGTCAAGGAGCTTATCACTATATAGAAAAGGAATAAGGGCTAAAGGGACAAAAATTGTCCATCTATCCCACCAAAAATTGATATTACCATTGTTAATGTTCCATTTGATTTGATGTTTTGCTATATTTGTTGACCAAACAAGACTTTTCCATCCGTAAGAGTTACCAGAGCTCCATATCTTTTGAGCGTTATGTTTATAAGCACGATACTGATTCTTCAAAAAAATCAGCCCCTTAGTCTCCACCACCTTTTGATAGCAAGGGTGATAGAGATATCAACTAAACTTTTAATACCTATACCCCCTTTCTCTTTAGGACAACATAAGTTAGTTCAAGAGCTCCACTGATATTTCCTTATTTCATTTGAAGACCCCCAATAAAACCTCACTATGTGTTTCTCAATGGTGTTTAGAGTACCTGTAAGAGGGTTAAGCACAAATATAATATAAAGGTGAAGAGACTGAAGGAGTCTCTTTATGAGTGCTGCTCTTCCCTTAACAATGAGCATCTTTCCTTGCCAACCATTCAACCTTAGCTTTTGACCACTTTTGAAATTATGATATCAAAATACTTCACTTTCTTTCTTCCAGAATATAGTGTACAACCCAAATAAGTGAAAGGAAAACACTTGTCCATAAATCCTGTACGTTGCCTCAACCTATTGATTTTGTAGGGACTAGCTTTGGTGTCTGTAAGAAAGAAGCTCTTATCTTCATTAACTTTTTGACCTGAAGTCTTTTCATATCTTTTGATTTTCTTCATAACCGTCTTGACAGTTCTATTTTTAACGTTCCTTTAAGCCTTTAAGTTGAAGAGAAAGGAGGCTTACATTTTAGAATTTCCAAAGAAGTTTCAAAAGGCTAAACCGATCTTCATTAAGACCTACTCATCGCTTTGAATTACCAAATAAATCTAAAACTAGTTCAAAATCTAGAATAATCACTTTTAGAGACATATAAGGCCAAAATAATTAACTTGTGGAATTATACCTTTTTAATAGACAAGCATGGAAGTAGGCTTATATATTTTATTAATTAAAAATAAATATAATTATTTAATAAGTGTCAATAGTTAGTGGCCTATTTTAAAGAAATTATATTTAATATTATCACTATCTTTATTTTTAAAAATCAAATACTGCGAAAAGTATTTTAAAATATGCCAATACGTTCATACATAAATATGTCATGCACATAAAAATATAAATTCATTATTTTGTCTTTAGTTTTCTCTACACATAACCTTTTATTTTGGTTTCTCATATCCACTATCCTTTTTGCGAATACTATTTATTTTTATAATATATAATTTATCATCAACTTATCCTA